TTTGAGTATTGGCTTGTTAAACCCAAGGTTATGAGTTTAATCCTTGCGGGGGGGGTCACTTAGGGATCTGGGGTAAAAATCTGTCTGGGGATTGGTCCTACTTTGAGCAGGGGGTTGGACTAGAATCTCCTGAGTCCCTTCTAACCCTGATAGTCTATGAAATAAAAAGAATCCAGCTACACAGTGTTTCTTTTTAACAGGGGCTCAGTCAACTTGATGTTAATTTGAACGTTTGTACTGGATAGTTCTGATTGATTGTCGTTGAACTCGCTTGAGTACGAGTACTTTTACCAGGTGTCCCATATTCAGCATAGGGAAATATGGTCACCCTACTGGTGGGCTGAGATCAGAACCCAGCCCTGCCCCCAGTGCAGTCAGGGGTGACTCCAGATTGACCCTGGGGAGCTGAGATCAGAACCCAGCGCACAGGTTCCCTGTGGATGCAGTGAGGTGTCTGTTACCCCTGGCGCTGTCCCTGGGGCTGGGCGCTAAGGGCAGGTTACAGACACATGGGGAGGGTTTTGTGTCTCCCCATCTCACTCCTGTTTGCGTGTGAACGCAGAGCTCCCTGTGCCCAGACCCTCCATCTCCGTCAGCCCCAGCGGGGTGATCGCCCCGGGGGGAGCCGTCACCATCCGCTGTCAGTGTCGGTGCGAGGCCAGGAGGTTATTTCTGTATAAAGGTGGAATCCAAATCCGGGAGCTGGATGCTGCTGGGGAAGGGGGTGAATTCACCATCCCCAGCGCCAGACGGGAAGATGGATGGGTCTACACGTGTCGATCTCGCTCCAGATCGGAGCCACCCAACTGGTCGTATTCCAGTGATATTGTACGGATCATTGTAGCAGGTGAGGGGCCCGGCTTGGAATCCCCACACCCAGCCCCACACCCAGCCAGACGGTCATGGGGGTCTCTGGGCTGATGGGACACTCCTTGTGCATCACTTACCCGGCCTGTGGCTCCATTTCCCCTTGTACGAATGGGGGATAAGCATCCCTCCTGCACTTTGTGTCTGGTTAGATCGTCAGGACTTGGCTCTAGGGCGGGGGCTTTTTCTCACTGTGTCTGTGCAGCACCCAGCACCTCTAACTCCCAGCCCCCTCCCAATCTAACCACTAGATCCCATTCCCTTCCCAGAGCCGGGGACAGAACCCAGGAGTCCTGGCTCCCAGGCTGCAGGGCCCCATTAAGTAGATAGCTGTGTACAGAGGGGTGCTCTGGATTTTAGGCAGTTTCGGTCGTAGCTCCCAGCAATCTCTGGGATCTCGGAGAGGTTTCTCTGCCTGGGTTTTCTCCCAGGGGCCCTGTCTCTGGGACCGTGCGGCGAGGACGGGGCGCAGTGACTGTGCTGGGGTCTGTCTCACGGCCTGTCTCCTTCTCACTGCAGAGCTCAGCTACCCCAAACCCTCCATCTACCTGAGCCCCAGTCGGGGGGTCGCCCTGGGGGGAGCTGTGACCATTCAGTGTCAGGTTCGGTACCAGAACGCGAGGTTCCTTCTGTACAAAGATGGGAACCTGACCACGCTGGAGGACGTGGAGCTGGCTGGGGACGCCGCTGAGTTTCCCATTCGCAATGTGAGCTGGAGACACGCAGGGAGCTACAGCTGCTATTATTACCGACATTGGTACCCGTTCATCTTGTCGCATCCCAGCGACCCTGTGGAGCTGGTGGTAGCAGGTGAGTTGCCCGGCTCAGTATCCCCGCTCCCAGCCCCACCCCCAGTCGGACCCTCAGGGGCAGGGGCATGTGCAAGGGGGACAAACAGGAGTAGGAACCCCCTTGAATCAATGGGGCCAGAGCACAGAACTCCTCCGGGGAGCAGAGCCAGCTCCTCTGGCTGCGGGGGGCACACAAAGTGCCCTTCCAAAAGCGACCACATTTTTATTCCTGTGCACGCCCCTGATCAGGGGGTCTCTGCGCCAATGGGACGCTCAGAACCAGCCTCTGCCCTGAGCCCT